TGCTCATTTTTAGCCTATTCAAGCCTGGAATTCGTCCATTTCTGCCAAAATTTCTGTATGTCTGTCTGTATGTCCGCATGTCCATTTTGAGTATTTCAGACTAGTTTTAAGCTCAAAATTGCTCATTTTTCAGCGATTTTTAGCTTAAAATTGCTTGAAATTGCTCATTTTCAGAAAAATCGCAGTATGTCTGTCCGTGTGTCCGGATGTCCATTTTTAATCGTGAAATTTCAAAATTCCAAAAATCTGAAAATTTCAAAAAATGTAAAAATCCGAAAATTCAAAAAAAGTAGAAAAATCTGAAAATCCTAAAATTCTAAAAATCCGAAGTTTTCAAAAGTATTCCAAATTGCGGAATTCGTCCATTTCAGCCAAAATTTCTGTGTGTCTGTCTGTGTGTCCACATGTCCATTCAGAGATTTTAGACTAGTTTTAAGCTCAAAATTGATAATTTTTTATGGTTTTTGGCTCAAAAAAGCTCATTTTAGATAGATTTTCGTAGGTTTTTTGTCTGTCTGTGTGTCCATGAGTTTTCGATTTTTGGCTGTTTTTCATGAATTCTGGTTCAAAATTGCTCATTTTCAGTCATTTTTGACTCAAAATGGACCATTTTTCAGCGATTTTCAGCCAAATTTCTGTCTGTCCGTGTGTCCGGATGTCCATTTCTGAACATTTCTAGGCTTATTTTGACCCAAAATTGTTCATTTTTCAGCGATTTTTCGCTCCAAACTCACCGCCACCACTACCGATGGACTCAAATCGAGCACAAACACAATTCTATAGTATCTCGAGATATATGTGCACTTGGTGTTGACCGTAACCAAAAATTCCTCCTCATCGTCCAGAATCTCCGTTCCATCACTTCCTGTTGGCACGATTCCAACTACGGTCATCTCCTGACCATATTCATCCCCGGTTTTTCGTTTTTTCCCATCTGATGACGTGGATTTTGAGCTTCCAGACGATTCTAGGCGTTTTGGCGCTGTTGAATTTCGAAAATCCGACGATTTTGACGATTTTTGGTCGTAAAATTCGGATTGCTCATCTTCTGAATCCTCTGAGTCTTCTGAATCCAAATCTTCGGGTTTTGGGGGTTTCGGGCACTCGAAATCTCGAAAATCCCTCGAATTTTCAGCGTTTTCAGCGT